ACATATATTAACTATAACTTTTGTTTGTGAAGAACTCGGGTGTAATATAAAAATATTTGTTAGGCAAATTTGGGGATGATAGTGGAAAAGTTGACAGATAAGTCATCCTTATTGCCACTCTATAGAACCGTATATGATATTTTTACCTCATATGATGACTCGTTCAATTCTTTTGAAGTCATTGGGTCCTTTTTCTCGTTCGAGAATCTCCTCCCTTCTTTCACTCCGTCTCGAAGAGTAAATAGAACAAACTCAATCACGTTTTCATGTTCCAATTGAACACTTTCAATTTTGATTATTCTCAAAGTAGAAGATTGTTTTTTTTACCAAACATCTGTGGATCCAATCACTTGATCTTATATAATAAGAATAAGAGATCTTTCTCGATCAATTTCTTTGACCATCATTCTTCGAGAATCAGAAAGAGACTTTCAAGTTTGAATTTGTTCATTTGGAATCTGGTTTCTTCTACTTCATTTTTATTTACTTATTTATTTATTATTATTTTTTCTCTCTTTTCTTTCTTTTTTTATTTTATTCCCTTCCATCATTCCTTCCTTAAGTTCCATGGGTTTGATCCTATAGAATTTGACTAACTTTCTAATTGAACGAAGGGTACAAAATAAATTAAATCAGATTGATTTTTCGATCAAAAGCACTATGTGAAATTTTCAGTTTTTTCCTCTTTCTCTATCCCTATTCCATAGGAACAACACTTGAATCAATAGAGAACCATTTCTTCTCTATCTATGTGAATCAATATTATTACATTCCAATTCCTTACCAATACCCCTTAGGGAAAATCCCGAATTTGATGCAAAATTTTGGTTTGGTGTGACCTTATCCATGCAATTATGCACTTTTCGAATAGGAATCCATTTTTTTGAAAGATCCTGGCTTTTGTGCTTTGGTGGTTCTCCGAGATCCTTTCGACGACATATGTTGTGTTGAAGGGATATATATATGATTCGATTGATTGCATAAAGTCGGCAGTAGCAACAAAATTGGGTGAGTATACTGAAAAGACAGTTCTTTTCTATTCTATTGGTATTAGTTAGTGATTTCGGTTCAGTGAGTCCTTTCTTCCGTGATTAACTGTTGTCGCTAGTCCTACATTTTGTTTCTGTGGACCGAGAAGAAAGGAGGCTCAGTGGAAAGAGGATTGTACTCTAGAAGCACTTTCAAATATACAACATGGATTCTGGCAATGCAATGTAGTTGGGCTTTTATGTTTATTCGAATGAATTATCTTTTCCGCGGAGGTCAATCTTTGTCTGCTAGGCAAGAGGATAACAAGTTACTAATTTTGTTTCGGTAGGACATATATTTCTATTACTATGAA